TGAGCATGCATTTCACTTGCTGAAGACAAAACTAAAGGCAGAAAGACCCACAAACAAACAACAACTGAAGTCAGCTGCAGTAAAGGCCTGGCGAAAGCATCACAAAGGAGGAAGCCCAGTCTCTGGTGATGTCCATGAGTTCCAGACTTAAAGGTCCCATGGCATGAAAATTTCACTTTATGAGGTTTTTTAACATTAATATGAGTTCCCCTAGCCTGCCTATGGTCCCCCAGTGGCTAGAAATGGCGATAGGTGTAAACCGAGCCCTGGGTATCCTGCTTTGCCTTTGAGAAAATGAAAGCTCAGATGGCCCAATCTGGAATCTTCCCTTTAGATGACTGAAGGTTTTCAAATGACTAGAGCGTGTTAAAGAGGAATCCTTGGCAAAACTACAATAAATTCTTTTCTCGTTAGGTTTTGCATTTGAAATTATGCTGGTTTTGCATTTAATGCTTGTCATTTCACCGAAACAACCCAAGGCTTTCTTACCACTTGTTGCAGATCTAGAAGGCTCTGTAGCAGGTGGTGCATAACAAAATGTTCTACATTTCCATGAAAATACAGTTTGCAAAATATAAAGTCAGGCATTTTGATCTACAGCACAATTGCGATATTCAAATAAAACTAGTAAAGATGCAATGCATATGGGTTTCCTACCAAGAGATGCAATTTTATTTTATCATTATTAAAACCAATTATTTTCTGATGGCATTGCAGAAGCCTCAGGGTAAAAGCTGATATGGCATATTTTTATGAAAAGATTTTAACTTCATTACACCACAGCACATTATTACTCTATAACTCCATAAACAAATGGAATAATGGTGTTGAGCCATTCTAGATGTAATGAAATCTCATGACTGGAAAACAGGAACCTGAAGAACATTTTTGGGTCACATTTCACCCTAAAAATCAAAAGAAAAGGGGAAAAAAAAACATTAAAAAAAAAAAATTCCATAAAGGTGAAGCCTGTACTGTAGATCATTAAGATTTCTTTGCATTGTGAAATTGTGTACAATTAAGCAAATTGTCATTAATGCAATAAAAATAAATACAACTTTTAGATAAATGTCTGTAGCACAGTCATAAGAATCAAATGAAAATCAGCACTGAGAATAATAACTAATAAAACAAATGCATTAGAGTAATGAGAGTTTAGGATGAAATGTGCGTAATTGTTATGAAAACAAAAATCTTAATGCTCACAAAAGGCTTAAAACAGGCTTGTGCAAAATATACACTTTCCTTTTAATTTCAGGGTGAAAAGTAGTTTTATTGTGAATATTTATTTTCAATTACATGAATGCAAATGAAAGTGTAATGGTTGGACCAATTTACAGTATTCTAGGCATGATAAAAGCAAGTTTATTGTAGTTTTGCCTGTAATTTCCATTAAAAAGTACAGCCCTGGTACAGTCCTCTAAGACTGAAAGAGAAAGACAAGCACTATTCTTACACTAAAACCATCTGCCCCAAGCCTCCACCCTTATCCAAGACCGTGTTTCATTGATTTGAATGGTTCATTCGTTTCATTTTTTGCATTTCAGAGATTGGTTAGAAATACCCAGCGGTTGTGGGAGTTGGGTAGGAGTTCTGTAGTTGTGCTGCGGTCAGACCTTTGTAACGGTGCACTGACCGTCGGGGGACCCCGAGCGATCGCTGCTATGTGCAGGGCCACCACCAGGGGACGGTCTGTCCAACTGATGCAGTCTATGCCTACCCTGGGAGCCTTCTGTGTGCTCATCTTCACCTTCGTCCCCAGCCTGCTCATCTTCATCCTCGCTCGTGCCAGACTCGGATTCGTACCCCGAGGGGTCCGGAGCGGCTGAATCGTCTTCTCATTAAAAAAAAAAAATTCCATAAAGGTGAAGCCTGTACTGTAGATCATTAAGATTTCTTTGCATTGTGAAATTGTGTACAATTAAGCAAATTGTCATTAATGCAATAATAATAAATACAACTTTTAGATAAATGTCTGTAGCACAGTCATAAGAATCAAATGAAAATCAGCACTGAGAATAATAACTAATAAAACAAATGCATTAGAGTAATGAGAGTTTAGGATGAAATGTGCGTAATTGTTATGAAAACAAAAATCTTAATGCTCACAAAAGGCTTAAAACAGGCTTGTGCAAAATATACACTTTCCTTTTAATTTCAGGGTGAAAAGTAGTTTTATTGTGAATATTTATTTTCAATTACATGAATGCAAATGAAAGTGTAATGGTTGGACCAATTTACAGTATTCTAGGCATGATAAAAGCAAGTTTATTGTAGTTTTGCCTGTAATTTCCATTAAAAAGTACAGCCCTGGTACAGTCCTCTAAGACTGAAAGAGAAAGACAAGCACTATTCTTACACTAAAACCATCTGCCCCAAGCCTCCACCCTTATCCAAGACCGTGTTTCATTGATTTGAATGGTTCATTCGTTTCATTTTTTGCATTTCAGAGATTGGTTAGAAATACCCAGCGGTTGTGGGAGTTGGGTAGGAGTTCTGTAGTTGTGCTGCGGTCAGACCTTTGTAACGGTGCACTGACCGTCGGGGGACCCCGAGCGATCGCTGCTATGTGCAGGGCCACCACCAGGGGACGGTCTGTCCAACTGATGCAGTCTATGCCTACCCTGGGAGCCTTCTGTGTGCTCATCTTCACCTTCGTCCCCAGCCTGCTCATCTTCATCCTCGCTCGTGCCAGACTCGGATTCGTACCCCGAGGGGTCCGGAGCGGCTGAATCGTCTTCTGCGTCTTCCTCTTCTGTTTCTTGCTCGGCGGGGTTCATATTGAGTTGGGAGAGAGCCTGTACAAGCTGAATATCGCCGGAGGAAGCAGGGCTGGTCAGGTGACCGCCCAAGACAGTTGGCGGCCTTACGGGAGCAGAAGCAAAGATGCCTTATTAAAGCTTTAGCATTTCCAGTCTCTCTGATAAGTATTACTCCACTTTTACAAGAAAGGGTGCCATTCATGTATTATCTGTCAATATAAAACCAAAGTCTTGTGCAACACATAAAATAAAGAGTTGTAAATATTTGAAAGCACATTAATTGAAACCAGAAGCACAACGAACGAGAGGAAGAACTATACTATGTTGTTCTCTTGACAAGATTTCTTCATTTACACTCAAATCTTTGTTTACCATTATAAATTTATAAAACTGACTCAAACATAACAGTCTGGCTTGATAGGTCAACCTGTGTATGCTCATAATGGCAACTGTCCCAAATCAGATGCAGAAATGATCTAAATATATCATGACCCAAATCCTATACAGCCAAACCATTTACGGGACATTTTATGATGCTGGTACAGAATACACTAGAATATCAGACAGTACTTTTATGTTATGTTAGGTTAGGTTAAACACACCGTTATGATAAATAACAGCAATAAAATAGATTTTTTGCAAACATTTATATGAATACCAGCTATAAAGAATCAGTTATATTTGTTATCAAATGTTAAACTAAAATGTCTGACTGGTTGGAACCATCAAATCTACAATAATAGTTTTTAAATAATACAATTAAAGATTAATATTTAACGATTTACATTTAAAATTCATAAACTTAAATCAGTAAAATACATAATCTATTTACTGAAAAGTAGTAATACTAATATTTGCTAAATAATTAAGTTATTCATATTCAAATGTTTAAATAAATATTAGCCACAAAAAAATCAGTTACATGTACATATTTAACAAACGTTACACTAAAATATTTTAAAAGGTTTCAACCTACAAAGTAATAAAATCATTTAATAATATTAAATAATACAATTAAATCATTAAAATGTTACACCAACAACAGCTAAAAAAAATTTTTTTTAATAATTTTTAATAAAACAATATTAATATATTCTCATGATAAATATACATATTTGGATTAAATAAACCGGGTTACATTTAGCGGTTAAACTGACAAATGTGTTTTTATATTGCATTACAGGCCCAAATCCATCAACAACTCAAAGAAGAATGACATAAATCTACCCATTTACACTTGTAGGTATCATATTGATAAATCTAACTACACACACACGGAATGAATGAGATTTATGAGGCTTTGTGTGTGCTGATGTTGAGATCAGATCATTGATAGATCAGATTGAGGCCTGTAGACAGGACACCACCCCTGACCAAAACACAGCAAGCACAGCCTTATGTCACATTAAAATACAGTCCCTAAACCGTTTCAAATGATCGATTTATAAACTACAAGCATATAAGATCACATATTGTTATCATCAGTTGGGTTACTTGAATACATATTTATATATTTGGTGATTTTGCTGCGTCTTGTCTGAATGTCTTTCAGTTCACTCACCTGACAAAATAGCCGAGATTTCGCCTCTTTCTTTCAGCGACGATCAGATTTGGCTCATCTGCTAGTCACCGGATGATCACTCATTGTTCGTTTACTGACTAAAATTGATCGGTAACGTTAGAATTCGCCCGACACAGATGAACACAATAACGTTTTAACGCCTCCTCTGTGATAAGACCGCTTATGTGTGTTCGTGCGCATCCACTCTGCGCAAAACTTGCGCAGAACCTTAAAAATACATGAGTCTCTCTCATGAAATACACTTGAAGTTGCTCAGCAACACTATCTAAATGTCAACGTTAACGGATTCATATCATCTTGAGACCAGCATAAAAGGTTTTGTTATCCAAGTATTTTCACATCATTATAGTGTTGGGTGCTTAAGAAAAAGTAGCCTATTTCAAAAATATTTCAAACAAAAGCATGGCCTGCCAGTATTCTAGTACTTGGTTCATTAATTCAAACAAGAGTCAGAAATCGGATAATTTAAATATTATATCGGCCATTTATAAATTATTTTAAATATTATCCAACAACATACACTTAATAGATTACTTTTATGAATCTTTGTACTACATGTTTAGTAGATTACTGATAGATTAAATTATTTGAAGATAGGCTATGGCACTTCCATGCTTTTTGGTATGTTTCACATTATGAAATATACAGGGGTGTATAATCACTTAGCCTACATTTGTTTAGTTATATAGTTTTTAGATAACATTTTTGAAGTTATTTACACACAAAATAAAAAAAATGTTATTTTAATTGATATTGATTTACAGCATTTAGTTGTGAAAGGATGATTTGTACCATTTGTAACAGCAACTAGTTTCACATATCTGGATTGTAACATTATGCTGTGGCTTTATGCGTCCATTTTGTGTTATGCTATATTTTCAAGACAGCGTCACTAGAGGGCACAATTGTGTTAGAAAAAAAGGAGGGAAACAGCTGCTTGTCCCTTGGGGATTAGCAGTAAATCTGTCTACATAACCAACTAATTCAACTTGAAAAGGAATCTATTTTTATGTGTTGCAAGTAGGCTAAGAGCACATCAGTTTGTAGTTGTACGCAGAATCAGAAGTTTTCTATTACTCTGCTATTGAAAACTCAACACCTGGCACCGAGGATCGGATTAAAATGTTGGCATCTTTCCTGTTATGCCCACTGAACTGCATTAATCTCAATTACAGGAGGCAGTACAGTAATAAACAGATCCGTGCCTATCCTAAAATATGATATTCACGCTGCACGCCTGCAGGATTTTGCTTAAGTAACAGCATGTTCACCAGACACACTGCAGTCCATCTGTAGCCTTGTTCTTCCTGTTTTACACTAAAATCTCGTGTTGCTGGATGTTCTTTGTCACATCTGCGCTCAAGGGAATGCTGTTTCACAGCAGATCAAATAACTCTTCTCGGATTCTTGGAGAAAAATGGTCTTGGTGTCGTGATGCAGAGATAATCATTTGATGCGTGCAATCGTGTGTAATACACGGCATTAAATGAGAGAAATTCCCAAATTAGAACGGAAAAGAACGCTTTATTCCCCGTGGCTTTGTTACGCTATGATGGCTGTTGTTGTAGCCTAGTGACGGAGTCTTCAGTGTGTGTGTGTGTGTTTACATGCGTGGGTGCCATATGCATGAAATCAATGAGTGCTCATTTTCCACAGCTGTTTAGTACGACGGCACACAAACCCTCTCAATGAATGACAGAGACCTTTCACATGATGAGACCTCACTTCTTCCTCAGGGCGGTTTCTTTCCCATGGTCCATCGGTCTCCATTACACCCCTCGGCTCGCCAAACTTCCCTCTAATTCTCACTTTTTCATTTATTGGCACTTCTGAAGTCTTTCAGCTTGGGCTCCCCAGGCCCTCGAGGATGATGGTAGTTTATGAACCATCATCTAAAGCACAGGAACTCGCTGGAACGTTTCCCCGGGGATCTCGTTCCTTTCCCTTCTAACACGGTTTCCTCACCCCCTACGCCTTCGCGAGGAAGAACCACACTGCTCGCGTGTCCTCCTTTTTCGCGTTTTCCTTTGAGCCGTGGCTTATTGTCAGCAGTTTTTCAACGCTCCTGTCACTGGCAGCCACCTGGTAACAATAAGATACCATCAACGGCAGAGGAGAGGAGGCAGCTAAACTGGGGCGTTGTAATGAACGCACACACAGACTCGCAGCTATGAAAGTACTATGCCACGCATTCATCTTCTCCAGTTATTGGGGCTGCGTGCGAGGCAAATATTCTCCCAGTCATTGTTATTCTATGTATACGGTAAAATTAGAAATAAACAGATTGGAGCTGGATCCCTGCTGAAATTACCCTCGCAGGGAAATGAGCTGACAGCAATGTATTGTGGGTCATGTGGGAACCCATTTACGAACCCAGGTCACAGTTTACATGGCACACATTCATCATTATGTATATAGCTATAGGGGATTACAAGTAGATTATTAGGCGATAGGCCTACTGGAAACTTTTCCGCATAAAGTTCTTGATATACTGCGCTGAAACTCCCAAGCAATATCCTCTGACAGACTATAAACTTCAGGGCAATTAAAAGGCAATTACGCTTCAATTTTCGCTAAACAGAAATAGAGCAACATCAAGAATATGCAAGCAAAATATTAAACATTTATTGCCCTATAAAATCTCTAAATAGAACAAACTTTCTCGTGTTTAAATTACTATTGAGAATCATTCAATGAGCATTATGGGCGGGTAAATTGTGGAACAATAGGCCCCTAATGATAATTAGGATGTGATTTTATGTTAAGGTGGTACATAAAACAGCCTGTGTAAATCTGAGTGTTAATAACAGAGTTTAAACTTCAAGGCTATGAAACCTCAACAAAACAGAGCAGCATTAACCTCAAGATTATGCATGTGAAACATTAAAAGTTTTTTTCTTGTGTTTAAATTACTGTTGAAATTGATTCAGTGAACATTACAGGCAGGTAATTTGTGGAACAGTAATTATAATAAGAATGTGATTTTATGCTGCTGTGGTATATAAAAGACCCTAAGTTGTGTGTGTTTGTAAATCTAAGCATTATACTTTAAATTTCAAGGCAGTAAAACTTCAGAAAAAGAGCAAGATTAAGACGAATGATTATAGATTTGTATCCATTTCTGTTCTTCTACTGGAATAAATGTGTTTTTGTGTTAAAAACACTGTTGCATGCAGGTCATTTGTGGATGAGTAAGTAGACATTTCCTCAAAAACACGTGAGTGGTGCTTTACAGAACCCTCACAGCATTTGTGGGTGGTTGCCAGGGCATTGCCAGGGCATTGTTATGCAGTTGCTAAGGTGTTTGGGGTGGTTGCTTAGTGTCCACAAGTCCACAATTCTATATTATTCAGGTCTCTAGTGTGGAATTGTTTTTATCATCCAGCAGGTGAAAGCAGGAATTACCTTATCATTTATGTGGAAAATTTTTTTATATTTAAAAAGTTCATTCTGATGCCACATGCCTGATAAAATAATGTAGTAGGCCTAGTCTATATGTTGTATTCGTATATGATTTAGTGTATTATTTTTGTTTCTTGTGTT